GTGGCCCCCAGTGCTGCACACCCAGGTGAGAGGCGTCTCCCGGCTGTCCTGTCAGCTCGGGCCGGTTCTCTGTGCTCCAGTAGCCGGTGGAGAAGAGTGCGCAGCGGCCTTTAAAAGCGGAGCCGTTGAGAGCCATGGGGACGACTACCAGCAAGCCCGCCACGATCGAGAGGGCGTGAGCCGCACAATGTGCCATCAGCAGCCGACGGTCCAGCTCCATATTAGAAGATAAAGCGTGAAAATATCCACGTTATTTAAAAATACGGAGTAAAATCAGCATATATAACGGTTCGCCCTATGGTATTCACACAGACTAAGGCGGAGACCGCCCAGCCGCATCATTTAGCGGAACCGTGTCCTTTCACGGACTACGTGAGGTTTTGCGAGATTACTTCGCCACCTAAATCTAAACAGAATTAATTTATATATGTCTAAGAATCTGTGAAACTACATAAAAATGTACGTGTCTAAATACTATACTAGTTACTTTGATAAAAGAAATCGCAGTAAAAACGCCGAAGTCAACCTTGAACGACGAGCTTTCCTCGTTTAAAATGCATATATTCTCGGTTTTGCTGGTCAAGTCCTGCACTAATATGGGTGTGTTTAGAGCGAGTTTTACACTGCTTTGTGTGGCCAGTGAAAATCTAGGTTAAAGTGTGACATAACATGTTGTCAAGGTAGAGAGAGGCAGAGAAGTTGAAATAAAGTTTCTGCCGTGCCGCGGGAGAAATACACAACAAATGCCAGGTTTCCAAAGATAATCTGTCAGTTGCTATTTTAAATGATTTAAATGAGAAGAGAGTTTAACTAAACATCGAGTAGGAAGCGGTGTTGTTGAAGCAGGATCTTATTATGAAAGACGGAAGTACGGTAACGAACATGTTTTATTACTGGGATGATTTGTTTTTACTGTAATTACGAAGAGGTAAAATGAAGCAAAAGCGATCGTTTGCATGACCGGTGGAAATATCTAGTTTTTACTTGCTCTAAACGGGCAAGACAATGATAGCACATCCCCATTGTAGAGTCGAGTGATACATCAATTACACAAATGACCATTAGGACAAAGTGACGTCAGCCGGCAGGAGATAGATCGATTATCACACTGATGAAGTGTCTGATCAATGGCTCGAGTCTGTCAGAAATACATATTATATCTGTAACAATCAACGTCATGCCGAAACCCGGGATCGAACCAGGGACCTTTAGATCTTCAGTCTAACGCTCTCCCAACTCCAGGACATGACTCACCACTGGCAGACGGACCAGCTGAGCCAGATGATGACTCAGCTGCAAAGTAAGCCATGTAAACCCATGCCAATACATTAAATTTTTGTGAATAAATCCACACACACATTTCAGCAATCTTTATGCTGTCTTACAAAATCTAAAGCATAATCATTTATGAAAAAAGAGATGATGCTACTGAAACTGGTTAGTTCCTATTAGTAGTTGATTTATAACATATAAATGACGTGTCAGTGATTTAGTCACTTAAATAACTAGTAACGATACAGTTTTACCTTTTGATAAAAACCATACCATTTTTTCTGCTTACGTACAGTATTGTCGCCCCCACTTGATGATGAAACGTGACCAAGCCACACTGGACCCGATAGTTAATCAAATGCAATCCATCCCAAATGAAGGCACACCCGTTCACCCTTTAAAATCCCTGTCGTCAGGATATAAAACTCTAAATATCTGGTATTCCTGGGGTTTGTCTCCTATTCTTCCCTGTTTTATTGTTTCCATTCTTAAGGTCCTGTCTTCTGTCTACACAAGGCTGAATAGGACTGGACTGAAGTGTCACATTTTCTGAGGTTAGCAACTTTGTATGCACAAAGAGTGTAATTAGTTTTTTTGTTTTTTTGTTGTTGTTGTTGTTTTTGGTAAGTCTTTCCACACTTCGTACAGCCAAATGCGTGAAAGCACATACAGTATGTGGGTGCACAATGCATGACTTTGGGATTTATAGTATACTGTATATTCAAATAGGGCATTACATTTTGAGCAAATGCCTATATAAAAACGTTGCTGGCTCTTGTCAAAGGTTTAAAAAGGGTTTTGAAAGGGGAAACCAGCGCTTATGGACTTGTGGTTGGTTGAATTTGAGCTATTTCGGCAATAAGAAATCCGGGATCGAACCAGGGACCTTTAGATCTTCAGTCTAACGCTCTCCCAACTGAGCTATTTCGGCTGGGTAAACATAATGGCCATGGGCTCTGTCATGTGATTGGCCACGGAAAGGTGGACTTAGAGTTGTGGTTGGTTGAATTTGAGCTATTTCGGCAATAAGAAATCCGGGATCGAACCAGGGACCTTTAGATCTTCAGTCTAACGCTCTCCCAACTGAGCTATTTCGGCTGTGAAAACATAATGGCCATGGGCTCTGTCATGTGATTGGCCACGGAAAGGTGGACTTAGAGTTGTGGTTGGTTGAATTTGAGCTATTTCGGCAATAAGAAATCCGGGATCGAACCAGGGACCTTTAGATCTTCAGTCTAACGCTCTCCCAACTGAGCTATTTCGGCTGTGAAAAGATAAGTGCCATTTGATTGGCTACGGAAAGATGGACTCTGTCATGTGATTGGCCACGGAAAGATGGACTCTCTCATGTGATTGGCCACAGAAAGATGGACTTGGAATTGTGGTTGGTTGAATTTGAGCTATTTCGGCAATAAGAAATCCGGGATCGAACCAGGGACCTTTAGATCTTCAGTCTAACGCTCTCCCAACTGAGCTATTTCGGCTGTGAAAAGATAAGTGCCATTTGATTGGCTACGGAAAGATGGACTCTGTCATGTGATTGGCCACGGAAAGATGGACTCTCTCATGTGATTGGCCACAGAAAGATGGACTTGGAATTGTGGTTGGTTGAATTTGAGCTATTTCGGCAATAAGAAATCCGGGATCGAACCAGGGACCTTTAGATCTTCAGTCTAACGCTCTCCCAACTGAGCTATTTCGGCTGTGAAAAGATAAGTGCCATTTGATTGGCTACGGAAAGATGGACTCTGTCATGTGATTGGCCACGGAAAGATGGACTCTCTCATGTGATTGGCCACAGAAAGATGGACTTGGAATTGTGGTTGGTTGAATTTGAGCTATTTCGGCAATAAGAAATCCGGGATCGAACCAGGGACCTTTAGATCTTCAGTCTAACGCTCTCCCAACTGAGCTATTTCGGCTGTGAAAAGATAAGTGCCATTTGATTGGCTACGGAAAGATGGACTCTGTCATGTGATTGGCCACGGAAAGATGGACTCTCTCATGTGATTGGCCACAGAAAGATGGACTTGGAATTGTGGTTGGTTGAATTTGAGCTATTTCGGCAATAAGAAATCCGGGATCGAACCAGGGACCTTTAGATCTTCAGTCTAACGCTCTCCCAACTGAGCTATTTCGGCTGTGAAAAGATAAGTGCCATTTGATTGGCTACGGAAAGATGGACTCTGTCATGTGATTGGCCACGGAAAGATGGACTCTCTCATGTGATTGGCCACAGAAAGATGGACTTGGAATTGTGGTTGGTTGAATTTGAGCTATTTCGGCAATAAGAAATCCGGGATCGAACCAGGGACCTTTAGATCTTCAGTCTAACGCTCTCCCAACTGAGCTATTTCGGCTGTGAAAAGATAAGTGCCATTTGATTGGCTACGGAAAGATGGACTCTGTCATGTGATTGGCCACGGAAAGATGGACTCTCTCATGTGATTGGCCACAGAAAGATGGACTTGGAATTGTGGTTGGTTGAATTTGAGCTATTTCGGCAATAAGAAATCCGGGATCGAACCAGGGACCTTTAGATCTTCAGTCTAACGCTCTCCCAACTGAGCTATTTCGGCTGCGAAACTCCGTGTGGTACCCCCCACATTTAGAGTAACCCGCACTCGAGATGTGTCGTAATTTTTCTGGTCAGCAGTAAACAGGCACATAAGGCGTGGATAATCATCAGCGGTTCGTTTGGTTTACTTTTTGTCTGCTTGACTATGGGTTAACGGTTCATAACGTTCCACGCGATGACGTCATTTTAGCGCAGAGACTGCTGGGAAAGCGGTCAAGAATCGCTGAAGACACGGATTTAATGCTGCAACAAAGATCATCGCTATGTGTAACTAATATACCTGGAAAATGGTCCCGTTTTTTTTAGATGAGACCTGTATGCACTTCTGCTTATGATACGGCAAAAAGTATAGCAAGCTATTGTCCGTTTTTCTGTGACTTAAGCGCATATATTCATGCTCAAGCCTCACTGGGTAGCTAAAGTTAGCTGGCTAGTAGCTGCTTTGTTTTGTTTTCGTTTTACTTGACGGCTATATAAGCACTACTCCCCGAGGTCTCCCGGCCGAGGCAGGGGTGCGGACTACCAGAGTGATGCTTTTCTGTCCGTCCCGGGAAGATGGATGAGAAATCCAGCGGCAGCAGCCACCACCGGTTTCTGATCGTCCTGCTCATGGTATTGCTCTTTGGCGTCATTATGGTCCAGTACGCGTGCCCGAGCAGGTCTGAATGCCAGATGCTGCACCATTTGGGATCCTGGTTTAAGGTTGTTAGTGTGTCTGGTTCCCGGGGAAATGGACATGAAATCCGAGATCAAAAGGATCCGTATGTTGCAGAAGACGGCGCTCTGGTCCGGTTTATCCCTCGCTTCAACTTCACCAGAGCCGATTTAAATCGTGTTGTAGACTTCAACATCAAGGGAGATGATGTTATAGTTTTTCTGCACATTCAAAAAACAGGTGGCACGACATTTGGTCGACACCTGGTGCGAAATATTCAGCTGGAGAGGCCCTGCGAATGCCACCAAGGTCAGAAGAAATGTACTTGTTACCGGCCAGGGAAAAAGGAAACCTGGCTATTTTCCCGTTTCTCCACTGGCTGGAGTTGCGGTCTTCATGCTGATTGGACTGAGCTAACCCGCTGCGTTCCGTCACGCATGGACTCAGGAGAGACTCTCAATAGCCTGCCCAGGTCGGTCAAGGAGGAGATTTTTTTATTGTAATTTTCGGTCATTTTGTTATTATTATAAACAATTATATAACTGCAGGTCATTCAGTAGTGATGATCAAGTTCATTAAGGCAGTCTTCGACTTGACAGCACAAAGTCATCATTCCTGAAGATAAGACTTTACTGCAAATGGCGATTTATTTTGTGTTCACAATGTTATAAAATGTCCTCATACACATAAATGCATATACAAAGCGAACCAGTGTAATAGAGCTCTGTAAGTGTTATGTTTTCTACAACCATTACCACACATATGTAATGAAAAGGTTAAACTTGGCCTATTTGAGGCAGTAATAGCTGTTTATCTAGTCATTTGATGTAGCTTCTGTATATATTTTTAGTATTTAACATGCCCTTCTCTGTCTAGCCCATAAGGAACTTTTAGTCAAACTAATTCAACCAAATTCCAAGCTCCATAATTATTATTTTGTACTTTAGTTATCAACAAAAATAATCAACAGATAAATTAATAATGAATAAAATTGTTAGCTGCAACAATAATTCAAATACATAAATAAACTGCCCTAACATTTTGTGGCTATTTGAGTTGGTGTATTGCCAATCTAATGTCCTCTTTTTCTCCTGTCCCCAGTAGGAACTATTATTATATAACCATCTTAAGGGACCCAGTATCACGCTACCTGAGTGAGTGGCGTCACGTGCAGCGTGGTGCCACATGGAAAGCCTCCTTGCATGTGTGTGATGGACGTTCACCAACACTGTCTGAGCTGCCAAGCTGCTACTCAGGAGACGACTGGTCAGGTTGCTCCCTGCAGGAGTTTATGGACTGCCCCTATAACCTGGCCAACAACAGGCAGACCCGCATGCTGGCTGACCTTAGTCTGGTGGGTTGCTACAATGTCTCTGCCATGAGTGAGGAAGAGCGCTGGGCAGTACTTCTTGAGAGCGCTAAACGTAACCTACGGGGCATGGCCTTCTTTGGCCTGACGGAGTATCAGCGTAAGACCCAGTATCTGTTTGAGTGCACCTTCAACTTGGAGTTCATCGCACCCTTCACACAGCTCAATGGCACGCGTGCCTCCAGTGTTGATGTACCTCCTGAGACCCAACACAGAATCTGTGAGCTAAACCGATGGGATGTAGAGTTGTATGAGTATGCCCGTGACCTTTTTCTGCAGCGTTTCCAGGTGGCGAGGCAGCAGGAGCGCAGGCAAGCCAGAGAGAGGCGTCAGCAGGAGAGGAGGCGGCTACGTGGAAGGCTCACAGCAAAGCAAGGAGTGAGGCAGCTGAAGCCCACAGAAACATCCCATCAGCCCAACAGCCACTCTGCAGAAACTGAGGAGCAGCAGGGGGAGAAAGCTGATGGAGACAGTGTAGAGTCAGAAGTGCTACTCCCAAACTGGTGGGATCTGGATGAAAATGGCACCATGGAGGACTATGTGGACAATGTGGAACACTGGTAGTGATGGGAATGAGCAGTAGCATGTCTTAACACTAAATGTGCCAAGCTCTGCCTTGTCTGTTATTTTTAGTACATGCCTTTCACTACATTTTGTTCTCATCATGAGCTGTTTTAAATAACACATGTATTTATTGATATTGATTGTAACATTTTTCCACAACTGACATCCATAATAGATACATTTCCTTGACAGAAAAAAGGCTGATTTAGTTGCCTGTAGTCACATACTGTTCAGTGATCACACAAGCCTTCTAAACTGTTTTCTGGGTTTTAAACACATCTGAACTCTTGTACTGTAGCTTGGAACGAGGGGGTGTTTATTTTGTCTTTATTAAAAGTAACAATGTAGTACTTGTTTCTATAAAATATATTATTGTTTATAATGAGCAATCTACATGTTTGCCAAATTGTTGTTGTGTTGTCTGAAATGTGTACATTTCAATGTATACCTGTGTTTTAAGTGTCATTTAAGTACAGAAAAGGAGAATGGAATTCTCATAATACCTCAGTGTGTTGCAGTAACTGCTAATGTTGTAAAATTACTGAATGTGTCCCAAGTCTCAGTTTTTATATAAAGAGCTTTTACATTCACTCAGCTCCTGTTCTGTCTTTGCCATTTAGTGATATCTTCTTTCTGTGGACGACATTATTTCTATGAACAATGTTTATTAAAATGTCAACAGACATCTTGGTAAGAAAAAGAGAGAGACGGCGACAAAGGTCACAACATGTCTGTTGTCAGATTCACTTGCAAGCCTCTGGAACACCACCAGGGATCACCAAAGTTATTTTAATGAAATCAAAACATGACTGGAGATACTGAGGAGAAAGGTGACATCACATCTTATTTAATATGGCTGGACGGGCTTTGAACCCCCAGCGCTCCTACATAGGAGAAAGTCCTTGTGCTCATTTTGCATATCTTTGTGGTTGTGTTGCTGTGTTGTTGCCCACTTTGTCCAGTTGGTAATCCAGCCTTGTTTAGTCCTTGACAGCGAAGTATGGTGCTCTGCTAATTAAATGTTCTGTTTTGTGCTATTTTAAACTTAAAAATTCTGTCTTCAAACAAATATGAAAATGTGATAGCTTATATGCGTCTCAAATAGGTTTTATTGTGAAAAACCATAAAATGGCCGGAAGTAGTGTGTTGGTTAAAAAGCTACTTCCAAGCATCAGGTTGAACAGGTGAAAAGAGCTCCTTTACCCACACATTTAGGCTGTTTCCTTAATATAAGAAGAAAAAACGACTGATTTTATACGTTTTAAACTGTTTACACAGTGACAATCGGGTATACAATCGCCTTGTTGGAGTCTGCACGGGTTTTGTTATATAGGCTGACCTTACGTTTACATTTTGACCCTTAATTAACGCTAGCTATTGAAAAAGTGCAAACTTTTAACGGGACATTTTAGTCCAAAGTTAAACCGCGTAGTCATTAATAACTGCCCTTAAATAACAGCAGTTGGGATATGTGGATGGACTGTTAGGGCGAAATGTAGCTGTAACGACCAAAGGAAAGTGTGTGTATGTGTGTTATTATGCATTATTGTACTGGTTTTAATTCTTAGCTGCTAACGTCAAATGGCAGCCTACCTTGATACCTGCTGTGGATTTGTCGTGACTTTGATTTCCACCAATACCATTGATGTTATCTAATAAACGTAAGCACACACACACACACACACTCCCTCTCTCCCAGCTCCTCCCTCACCATTTCGTCCAGTCTCAGATTTTTTTTTCCAGTCCTGTTTTTTCGCTGTGTGTTCAGTTAGCGCTGCAGCGGACACTTCATCTGTCTGCCTGCTAGTCCTCGCTTCTGCTTTCCTTCTCTCCTCGGCGCTAACACGTTTTATACTTGCGTTGACTGTATTATTTCTGCAAGCGATAAAGCGCCTTTTTTTTCCTTATTCTTCTGTCACTTCCAGCTAATGCGGAGTGTTTATCAGACCAAGAGCGCGTTTTCTGGAAAACAACCACCACACAAGCATTTAACCGACGTTTATCTAAGAGAATACACTTGAGTCTGAATCCAGTTGGACTACAAACAGGTAAGAGCACGTCTGGCGCAGTTGACTTCGCAGTAATGTTAGCGCGTCTTCGCGCATACAGCAGCGAGTTTTATATTTAATCCATGTCGCAGTCATCTAATATGATTCTTCCAGTCTGCCTGTTGCATAGAACCTCAAAGATGCCTTGATATTGTAAATACGGACTTAATTGCAGTATTACACATGCACAGCAATAATAACAATGAAGTACATTTCGTATGACTGTAGAGAGACGGCTGTGCTCGGTGTGGATACAAATAATGCTGTAAGCAGATGTCATATTTTAGTCTGGGATTAGCATGAAAGGGTTTGGTTGAATGCAAAATGCAGGATTGTATTGGAAGTCCTTGCAGTAGCAGTATTGCAAGTGCATGCTTTTGTTGTCATACCAAGGAGTGAAGAGCAACAAACAACAGGAAATTACTTTCAGAGTCACTCTGTTCACTATAATATTGAGTTTGAATCCTCTACACCTGGGCATTAGAGAGGAGTACATGGCAGGTTGGGTCCCGGTTATCTTCCTGCATGTCTGCAGAATTCAGGTCCTGGTTATCTTCCTGCATGTCTGCAGAATTTTGCACCCAGTCTCTGTATATGTATGCAGTCAGTGCAGGAGGTTGTGCTTCTTTACCCTAAGGGATCACATACGCAAGCCACCATGGTATACTGTGTTGTCACTACTTGCCTACTGTATGCATTTCCACTGAATTTGAGAATACAGCCAGTCCAGACAAGTTCACAGTCCCCTCAGGCTGTGGACTCTGCACCAGTCTAGCTAGTTTTTCTTTGCTTAGTATAAACACAGATAAACTGACAAACATAGGCATGCAGCCACATTTCCCACATAACCTGTTTTCCATTTTCTTCTCACACAGGCACATATTAAATGCCCAGGATGACCCATCGTTTATGGCTGAAATAAAACCATTCACCAACTGTGGAGCATAAGCCTAAATTTTATTGCCAAGTGTTATCAAAAATACAAGGAATTTGACTCCAGTCCAATGGCCCCTGATGTGCACAACAATATAAAAACAGAATACAACAAAAACCACAAGCTAAAAAACAGAGACAAAAATGCAGCAATAACAAATGAGAAACGATGTGCTGACAATACATTCTGGATTCAGCTACCGTTTTTCCACACTTAGCTTTCATCATATCACTACAGGGCTCTGAAACAAACCCAGAATTACAGCAAAGCAAAGTGAAAGCACCAGGGCCTGACTTTATTTCATCTCTTTCCTCTATTTGAATTTTTAAGTTAAAAAGACAAGTTGTGCGGCTTTGTCATTGTACTAGGTTTGGTTGGTTGTATGTTTGCTTTAATGAGCTGAAAGGATTATTGATACTTAACCTAATTATTTTACTCCCTCCCTCCCTCCAGGCTGTTGGCTTTCACTCTCATTGTGATTTATGGATCTTACACCTTGTGCTTTTCAGTCACCTGGTTGTTCATGTCATCCTGTTTTCCATTTGTCCTTGTCACTCTTCCAAAGAGAGTTGTCTGTTTAGTGAACTGTAACACAGAGATCATTTAGGTGGTGATAAAAGTTGTTTTCACAACTTCAGTATTCGTTTCACAACTACCTAGTCTTCTAAAAATGGAATTCACCAGGCATTTGGGACTCGGGGAACTCCAGATTTAAAAAAAAAAAAAAATCCCACTGGAAACTCCAGATTCATGTGTGAAACCAATCCAACACACAGGTCTGTTTTTATTCCAGTGTGACAATAAAACACTGAAGCTATAGTTTTATGATCCTTTTGTTCCGTCTGTAAACATCCTGTAGTATCAAAAACACATTTCATTCCCCTTTATGTATTTACTCAGTGGTAGAGCAGTACTTATTTTCTAAACACTGACATTTCTAAACCTTTTAGTGCTTGAAGTTCAACTTCAGGCTTCGGCTTTTTTCAGCATGTCATGTATTTTCAACACATACTCTGCAAATTTGAATTTTGTTCAGAAAATTGTTAGAATGTGTGACTTGTGACTATGGCTTCATAATTCTTTAGTTCTCTCTGTCATTACCCTATGGCATTTTACATTTCAAATTTATGCACCTATTGTTGACAGTATTTAGCAATTCACAGTATGTTCACCATCCATTGACCTGAATCTAACTCTTTTCAGCATGTTTTATAATACTGTTGTTCTCACTGTCATCTGCTGTATCACATTTATCATGTGTAGCCATTGCAGTGTTTTTTTAGAGCAATGCAAAATTAGTGCAAGAACAAGCTCAGATTTCTAAACCACAAAAATTTCATTATCGACTGGTAAGAAACTAAAGTGACACTCAGGACCTGTGCAATTTGTGCAAAAGGCAATAGCAAAGTGAAAAATCTAAATGGAGAGATAAAATTGGTTTAGTGTTAATGTGTCACTCTGGCTTTCATTGAATGCATGTCAAACACTTTACAGTTTGATTGGTATTAGGGTATCAGTGTGAGCAGATAAGACTGACTGTTGTGGTTGCACCCTGCCTACACACCGGCCTTAATGCAGACGTCAGAGCTCTGGTGAAGGTTATGCTGTCACTAACCCTTTGGTGCACTGTGTTTGATGAGGGACGCAATGCGCTGGAGTCCAGCGTAGCTCCCCCCCAGGTCCACCTACTGTTATGATTCTTACCTACTGGTAGCTGGAGCCCCTCTGCTCACTGCAGACACCTGGAGGACAGGCTGCAGCATAATGACTGTTATAACTATGGCACTCTATTTATTCACCATGCCACACCCCTGCATATGACTGTTTATGCTGCATTGTAAAGGTCAGACAAGTTCAGGAGGCCAAGATTAGTTCTGTACAACATGCCTTCAGTACAGCTGCCTTTGTAATTATCAGCAAGTACTGTTTTGAATTTTGGTCGTATTTCTAAGTAGATTTGTGAAATGATTTGTAGACTAACCGATTAGTTTATCAACAATATTGTCGTACTGAATTACTGAGTAATTAATCAGCAGAAAATTAATTTACAGTTATTTTGATAATTGGTTAATTATTTAAGTCATTTTACTAGTAAAAAATACAAACATGTTTTGTTCCAGCCTCTCAAATGTGATGATTTGCTGATTTTCTTTATCATATATGAGACATTCAGAGTAAGAGACCTGAATGGAATATCTCAACAGTATTGGAAGGATTGCCATGGAATTTTGTCCCTTGACATTCATGTTCCCTCGATATTGAATCCTAATTGTGATCCTCTGAATTGTCATCTGTATATCCTTTGAAGTATCTACTTGGTGGTTTGGCACAGAAATTGGTACATTTGTGACATTTATATGTCCCAGATGTTGAATCCTGATGACACTTGTGATCCCTGACTTTTCTTATAGAGTCATTACCTGGTCAAAATTAGGATTTACCCAGATTTTCGGTTTATAACCAAACAGCTACAAAACACATGACATTCACATGTGCCTCGGCTATACTTTGTTTATGTAAATTAGCAAATTGCATGCTAACATGCTAAACTAAGGTGATAAACATTATTCCTGCAAATCTGATAATTGTCAGCATATAAACATAGTGACATTAGTGGTTACCCTAAAACATTAAAGCTGTATATACTGTATTATATCTTTACAGAGCTGCTGCTGTAGACGGTTTGTTTTGTTCATGTCCTTCTCCATGTTCCTAAATTCCTGCACTTGGAGTATAATGTGGAAACACCCATTTATGAGTTACTAATAAAAAAGACCTTACTTTCTGTCTTGTCTGAATGTCAGCTCTACTGGCTTACTAACAGCTCCCACAGGTCATTCTGTCTGTTTATGAATATGTTGTAACAAACAAAACCTATGTGGGCATGTCACATTTAACCCACTTAGACATTATGCCATTGCATGGTTTCTCTATTTTTAACTGTCGTCCATTGTCTTCCAGTATCCATAAAGGTGCTAATAGATGCAAAAGGCAAAGCTTGGTGAAACGGTTGGTGAAATTTTCAGGAGGGTAAAACTCCTGGAGAGCAGAGTCAGAGCAGTGTACAGTATATCAGCAAGTGAAAGGTAACTACTGTGTATATTCAAAGGTACAGGGTGCAGTGTAAAGTAGAATGGCTTTGGAGTAGAGCCAGTGTTATTGCGTGGCTTTCCTGGAATCTTAGTAATGGCAACTGTACGCCATTTGGTGCTGGTGTGGTGAGAGTTAAGAGAGGAAGTGAGCAGCGTTGCTCGGGAACATTTTGATGATGCAGGTTGCCTATTGCTGAGCTGCATTGTCAGGATGTGCGTAAGCTAGAGTGCTTGACACTGATGTGGATGTGAATGCAGGACAGGCAAAACTGAAGGAGGAGTGCTAGCCTTGTTCCCCTGAGAAAAGTTTCTATAGATCTGTTTGGAGGCTGGGAAAAGGAAGCACAGATGAGCACGCTGGTTAGGCAAGCAAAGCAGTTGCTCTACGTGTTCATTTGTCATTCCTGCCCCCTTTTGTGTTTTGGCTGGGCTCTGTCTTTGTTCTTGCATTTGAAGGTGGGTATATTAGTTTAGTTACCACCTCCTCCTTACTCCTCCTTTTCCCACTCCACTGCGGTGTTCTCCTTGTGCGCTGTCCCCCCTTGTCGCTTCCTCTCTCTATGTCTGCCAACATCAGATGCTGGGACCGATAATATCTGCTCCAAAGCCCCCCTCTCCTCCTTCTTTTTTTGTACTCCTCCTCTTCTGCATCTCGCCTATTGTTTATAGACTTTTTTGCATTTATATACTGCTGCGCCCTCGTGTCTCTCACAAGGTAGACCTCCTCTCTCTTTAAATTCTCTCATGTCCTAAATGCAGTTTGGACTTTGCCTTTCCCTGGGAAGATAGATTGTATTTTCTTTTCTGTGTGTATCTTTATTGAGCCATCTCACTGATTGCTATCTGTATTCATTTAGTGTCCTGACACGTCACTCCGCTCCCTTGCGGTGAACCACACAAGAGCCTGCGTGCATCTTCCTTGCATCACGCTGCAGTATAGACCACTGTCTGAATGAGACATAACTTACTCCTCATCGTCTGTGAGAAGACAAAGCAGTTTGGAGTCAGCTCATAGTTGTTGTACAGTCTGAATATTAGCATGTGGCTCAGCTGTGTCTGTGCTGTACCAGTGAAAAAAACCTAGGAGGAACAAGGATGGGCTCTGTGGAGGGAGGAGCTGCTGTGTAAACGTCCCTGCCATTGGTTGGTGATATGTTCTGCCTGCCTGCAAAAGTCTGTCCAGCTGGCTGTTGCTTTGCATTGAACACACCAGCTGCAGTTATGAAGAACTGCCCCTACTCTTTCTGCCCTGTCGCACCCTTTTCTACTTTTTCCCTTCACACTAATGACTGTCTGGGGATCATCTGTGTCGACCACACGTGTCAGCCTGTGCCACTCCAAGGACACCACTTTTCACATTTTATTGCAGCATGATTTATGTTAAGTTAGTCAATTACTTTTTGTTCTGTGGAGCTTGGGGGAGCTGAAGCGATGACTCTGTCCTGCTTGCAACCTCCCTCTGTCCCTCTGTCTCTCCTCTCTCTCTCACTTAATCAAGACATCGCTTGCTCTTTCCTCTTCATTGCTGCCTCGCTCTTTCTTGTATGCTCTATTTGGTTGTCCTAGCTTTATTCTAGTTTGCGCTTTCCCTTCATGGTTCTCACAACCCTTAGTTTAAACATGAGGTTGATGCTTTGCCTTAATATTTTCCTTTCAACAGGCTGCTGTTTTGTTAATGCTTTAAATTAATATTTGCTTTTCTGTCTTTACAGCCTACAGCGAGACAACAAGCACAGACATGGAGAAGAGAGGTCAGTGAGGAGGATGACAATAGAAGAATAGAGGACGGCAAAGGAGGGATGAGAAAGAGACTGAAGTAGGAGGAGGAAGTGGAACTCCAAAGTGCCTACTGTGAGGGGTCGTCTGCTTGCCATCTGACTCTGCTGGATGAGAGCAGGACGCCACTCAGTGTGTGTTTGGCCTTGAATGGAGGCTATATTTTACCCTGACAGCCACAGAGTCATCCATCCCACATTGCTGAGCTGTAGTCCCCACACATCCTGAGGTGAGCAGCCACCTCATGTCATCAGTGCAAGGACACCATCCCTAAAAGGCTCTGCTTTTTTTCTACAGAAATCGTTTTCAGACATAAGTGGCATCACAGTGACTGCTCCAGCCTTGGCCATGTTGACGTGAATACATCAGTGACCTACGGTGGGTGCCAGTTGATTCAGGTGAAGGTGTGGATGCGCAGTCATGTATCCAAGCATGCCAGAGTGATGTCTTCAGAGTAGTTTGGCTTTTCTGCTTCTTTTTTTTTCTTTTTTTGAGTCAGAGCTGGCCTCTGCTCACAGATAAGCCCTTCTATCTCACTCCAGTGAAACCTCACCTGCCAAATTTCCCAGGAAGAATTAATAAACATCCCCCAAAATACACAAACCAAAAGGACTCACTGCCGATTTGCACAGAGGAAAAACTGAAAACACTTTTGCTTCTGGTTTTTCTGGGGTTTTTTTTTTTTTTTTTTTTTTTTTTTTTTTTTTTTTTTTTTTTTTTTTTTTTTTTTTTTTTTTTTTTTTTTTTTTTTTTTTTTTGGCACTGCTATTAGTCACCCCTGCACTCACCAGACGGTTTTCCGTCCGTCTGCCTCCACCACTGCTCAGTGTTTGTGAGTGTTTCTGATGGCTGTCAGCATGACCATGGGACGGGACACCAAATGGCTGACCCTGGAAGTGTGTCGTGAGTTTCAGAGAGGCACCTGCTCACGTTCTGATGCCGAGTGCAAGTTTGCTCACCCCTCCCGGAGCTGCCATGTGGAAAATGGCCGAGTCATTGCCTGCTTTGACTCACTCAAGGTAAAAGACATTTCACTCACCATCAGTCTTTGCCATATTACATCTTGTTTGTGTAGACACATTATATTCCACGCCAGGATGTCTTTTGTCTCTGCGTATATAAAAACTAAAATTAAGGTGGTGCCTACTTATAATCTTTGGATTTTTCATCAGAATTATTCTAATATTATCAATATATCCATGTGATTCTGGGACTAGGCACTACATGGACATTTATAATATTTTTATGTCATTGTAATTGTGTTGTGGGTTTTTATAGACTATAATGAACAAGCTTACCGTTAATATTAACCATTAATTTTTAAAATAGTTGAGAATGTTAGCTGAAAATTACATTTTGATCTGTCATTATGTAGTCTAAAGCAGTACATCTTAGCTAAGGGTGGGTAATATAGTCCTTTGCCATGGTTTAGGTAATTTTATTTCATGACAGCAATATATTTACTTTATACAGTATATCATATTATAATGCATTTAAAACTTGTGGATGAAATAGCTCTGTTTGTGAATGTGAATGAATTTTTCCTCAGAGGTGATTTCTTAGATAGTATAATCTTCACAGACAAGTAGGAAATGTGACAGAGGGGGATAACATAACAGCCAGATTATATCTATTAATGTTGCAGCTCCAAGGTATACAGTGTAGCTGCAGCCATAATGCCCATTCAGGGTGCTTTATTGCAAATTATAAATCCAATATCACCAGAAACCAGTCTTGCTCATTGATTTACAGCATTGCCTACAATGGTGTAATACAGTCAGATGAATTAAAGGGATAAGTACCATTGTAGACATTGTATTAAACAGTCTCTAATGATGAACAAATGTTGTCTTGTGGCACATGTACAGTAAGGGACAGCTCAGAGTTGTATGTTTCATGATTGTAATGGATGCAACTGCTTCGGATCATTAAATTTGCATGTTTCCAACAGTGGAGCTCTTTAGCTGTTCTTTATATACCTAGCTCCAAGCTAATGCGCTGAGCCTCATGGTTGCTAACTTTACCTGAAGATTATTACTGCATTAATGTTGCCGCTGTGTGCGTCATAGATGTCTTACTATCCTGTCTGGTAATGATCCTGTTCTGGTTAATTTAATCCGCACCCCCCCAGCCAATCAGAATCTAGGATTTTTAGTCACCATGGTATAAATCGTCATATTGCCCAACCCTGATTTAAACTAGGGAAATTAACATATAATTATTTATATCTAAACATATGGATACATATATCAATGTCAGTTATGTATGTGGTTATCAGGATATTTACGCTTTCCATTTTGCTCAGGTGCAATTCCTGGTAAAGCCGCTCTGTTGATGGTATGTTCCACCACCACCGTTGTGGGCTAGCCGGTCGTGTTGCTCACTTCTTCACTGCAGCTCCTCTCTCCTCCACACCCACAGCACTAGCACTACTTCTACACAGTGAAAAAACTAATGCTTTGCTTTGCTGTCAACTACCGGTGACCAACTGAGCTAAAATGGAGAATAGACTATTGCTTTGTCAGCACGTGTGGATGCACATGGATGCATGTGTGTTTGTGAGAAGTTTTGCTCAACCAGCTTTCCTACAGCAAAAAAGTGAGACCCAGACAAGGGGCTTTCTGTCTGAGTGCAGTTGCTGTCTCCTTGTTTATTGAGTTAGAATTTATTATTCAGCCATTTTTCTGTTATGTCCTCCAGAGCAGGAGGGAGAGGGAGAGAAAGAGAGAGGGGGGCCTAGCAACAGCACAGGAGTGCATACCCATTGGATAGTTTGATCTTCCTGAGTGGCATGGCTGTTTTTAGCACAGAGCAACAGCCTGGCTCTGTACTGGTTGCATTGATGGGAGAAAGAGGCAAGCTGTTTTGTACCAAAGGCAGTGAACAAGTGTTAAAGGCCTTATTTGGCTGTTTGAAGCCCCAGGGTCATGTTGTTAGTTTGAGAAACAGCCGAAGTTGGTGACAGTTGAAGGTCAACACGGCTTTTTTTTTTTTATCAGGAGCTGCAGGAGGGCTTTAGTGCCAGCACAGTGTGTCAACAACCACCTCTTTACAGGAGCGTTTCTATCCGCATTGTTGCTCAGGACTATGTTCTCCTAACAGCCGTTGTTTTTGGTCGACTGACTAGAAGAAGCACCCCCCACTGTCCCTGAAAGAGCTGCTCTACACCATCACTCCTTCCTCCTGTTACCCGCCCACCACTCCCTTCTTTGTTAATTTTATGGATGTATCTGGTGCTGGTCTCTCTCTTCACTGTCCCTCCTGCATCCTGCTGTCATTCCCTCTTGCTCCTCCATTAGCTCTGTCTGGTCTGTCTGTCTGAACCTGCTGCAGGCGAAGGATGAAGCAGTTCACCACCTAGTTCTTTATACCTTGTTAACCAGAGTGCTACTGTCATCTCACATGACACACACTAGATTTAACTGTAAAGTCACTTATGGATGGTAGGCTGAAGCTAACAATTTAATTATAGTTTAATCTACAGAATACTTAGTAGATTAATTGATTACATTTTTGGGCTACAGTCCACGGCCCCCTGGTGGTGTATGACTGCATTGCAGGTGAACTGTGACCATGCATTCAATAATGTAATTTTCCTAGGGGAATCACAGTTTATTTTATTCTATTATATATTAATAATCAAATTTATGTGAATACTTAAAATTTAGAAAAGCCAAGGTGACTTTCAAGATTAGAATAGTACCCATGTGGTTTATACACTACACAACAGTGGTCCTCACATTGCGTCTTAGTCACAGTGGTGGTCCCTGGACCTGAAATTTACAGTGCCAACCCTACAGTGTGGCCAATAATTAATCAGTTATGAAGCTTGTTGCCAGTTAATTTTCTGTCAATGATCAACTAATTGTTTCAGCTCTGTGTCATTGTTACTTATATGAATGAGCCTAGAACTGAGTGTGGTGATTGTGTAACTGCAGAAAACCCTCATGTTTGCCCTATATTAATATAGGATATAACACAGCTCTAAAATGTGTGTAACAGCTAAATGATCCTATTTATTGATGCCCCGTCACACTCAGCATCAACAGCACACTACTGTACTAACTGGGTCTTTCTCTGTTAACATGTTGCTATGGCTACCAAAAGGAGATTCCTGACCCATTACTCTCCTCAACACCACTTTTCACTGGCCTCCTGTTCTACCCCAAATAATACAGCTGTTTTAAAGGTGTTGCTTTTGTATAAACGTTCATGCTGCCAAGCTGAAAAATACAGACATTTCATTAGACCTTTGTTTTTAGACGCACACAATGCATAATGTACATGATGAGGCTCATTAATAGGTACTTTTCTTTCCCTCTGAGTTTGAGCTGACATGCTGGACTCATGGGACGCAATCCTCACTACAGACTCATCCCTAAACACACAACTCACTGACGCAACACTTGCTTGCATCTCCAGTGTAGGCGAGAGTGTTTGTGTAAGCCTGTGTATCATCCCAACCATTTTTCAACGTTTGTGTTCTTTTTGTCTGGTGTGTGAGGCTGTGTGAATCCCTCCTGAATGCTGGTATAGGTTTCCTGCCCTATATCCTTAGTTCTCCTGCAGCTAAACCCTCTTTTGTGTCCTCATCTCAGCACAGCATCATCAATCACCATCAGAGTCTCTGCACCATGACGTCACTTTGTCTTCACAGTTTTTTTATTTTTCATTTGTATAGTGCTTTGTCATTTGTGCATCATAATCACCTAATGTGAGCTGGTCTGTGTGGGTGTGGTTTGATGACAGAGCATGTTGCTGATGCTCAGTGACGGTAGTTTAGCGGGTTAATAGCTCGTCTGCAGGGGCAGACAGCTGCTGTCGGCCCAGGGGTTCAATGGAGACTACAGTTCGTGCTCCAAGCTTGTGTTGACCTGCAGTGATCCTGGTGCACCATCTTTACCTTCCACATTACAGCAGAGACAAAGGGCACAACTTCAGTGTTGAGTCCTTGGGCAAAATGCTTTTAGATAAATGGCTCCAAATCTGATTTAGGATTTGTCAAGAAGCCAAACATGACTTGTAAAAAGGAGCAGAAAGAATTACTTCTGATCAGAATGGTTTGTAGCAGCAGCTGAGTAAAACACTATATCAGCCTAAGACAATATTACATCATTGAAACATTTGATTTGACTCCACAGTTTGCTTTTTCATGTAAAACATTTAGAGCTGAAACAATTAATCAATTGGTCGATCAAAAAATTAATTGAATCAAAACTGAATCAGTCAAAACTACTGCGGTGATTTTATTCATTATACAAGTCAGTTTTTAATCAAGCAAAAATAGATAGATAGACAGATAGATAGACAGATTTATATTCTGGTGACATGATCATTTGTTACATCCCTAAAACACTGCTTTGATTACGAGGTTTAAGTATAGACGTAATTTTTTTGGAAACTAAAGAAATCTCATCACATCGTCACATTACTCAAATTTCATTCAATAATCAGTTAAATTTCTAATCTAAAATATTGCCCAGCTGTGCAACTTATGTCTATGTTTTATAAGAATCTCTTGCCGTTTCAGTCACATTTATTATGAAGGGTATCTCTCTTTACTCAGATATGTGTGCTATTTTGGTTATAGTCTCACAGTCTGTCTGCTGGTGCTGTTTAAGCCTGCATGTGTTGAATGAAGCTTTGCATCCAGGACAAATAGAAAAGCTGTGACTATGCACATAAGCCCAACATCAAAATACTGGTGGCTCATGAATAGTCATGAATTGCGCTCTGTGTTGTTAGAGCAGATGGTTTTAATAACTAGTAAAATAGTAGTTAACTGGGACACATTGTTCCAGTAGAAAACTATGACAGCTGTGTGTATGTGTTTTTTATTTAACTAAAATTTGTCCTTTATGTGATGGAGTTTAAACCTAGTGTCAGCAAACACTACCCCTGCTTATGTATTATTTCTTCCAAGATTCAAATTGGCAGGTTGACCCTTTTCTGACCACCTGCAGATGAGGAGTAATAGATCATGAACAGAAACCCATAATTATAGATTAGTTTCACTACT